TCATATATATAACATTCGGACTGATTTACACTGTTTTTAACATTCCATGGAAGTCAACAATAAATTGCACAGCTAAATTATACTCGAACTGTTGCAACTCATAATTACATCATATATTTACTGGGAGTGCACTTGTAAGGCAGCCAACACCCAAAACCTGACCTGATATGACCCTGGTGACACATATTACTTCCATTTCGTGATGAAAACGAGTTCCTAGTCCTTACTAAGAAATCTATTGAAAACACAAGGGTGAAATCCAGCTGCTCAACTCTTGAGAGAGAGAGAGAGAGAGAGAGAGAGGGGTCACTTTGGAGCTAAATAAACAAGGTAGATAGTGAAGTGTTTCTGTAACTGGGTTGGAGGGGGTTGGGGTGGCTGGGACAGAGTCTGATCTCCTCATAGCAAAGCGAGACAAAGTGTCTTGAGTGACAAAAACACTCTTACATATGCCATAGCATGCTGTAACATCTATGGTTTTCTAGGAAATTTATAAAAAAAAAAATAGCTGTTTGCTGCTCTTGTTTACTTCCACAATGTGATGCACACTACTATTCAAAAGGTTGGGGATGCTAACTAATGCTAACTAAAAGCTGCATTTATTTGATGAAAAATACAGTAAAACAGTGAAATATATTGTATAATATTCTGAAATATTATTACAATTAAGAATAACTCTATATATTTAATATATACATTTAAAAAGTAATTTATTCCTATGATGGCAAAGCTTAATTTTCAGCAGCCATTACTCTAGTCTTAAGTGTCACATACTCCTTCAGAAATCATTCTAATATGCTGATTTGCTGCTCAAGAAACATTTCTTATTATTATTAATGTTGATTACAGTTAATGTGCTGCTTCATATTTTTCTAGAAACAACGATGCATTTTTTAGGATTCTTTGATGAATTTAAAGTTTAAAAGAATAGCATTTTGTAACATTATGAATGTCTTTACTGTGACTTTTGATCAATTTAATGCATCCTTTTATAAAAGTATTAATTTCTTTCCAAAAAAAAAAAAAAAAGTACTGTAAAATGTACCTCAAACTATTGAATGTTGGCGGATTTCCAAAAAAAAATAAGAAAAAGCTATTTAAAAGAAAAAACTGTAGGACGGGATTTCATAAATCGTTTGGATGTTGAAAATTGGGTATCGCATATCACAATGGCGCCAGAATAAGTTACAACAATGCCGAGCTATTTAGTTATTGGTTACCAATACTGGTTGTCCAGTAGGCCGAAAGGCCTCAGTGACATCAGGCAAAATTCTTTTAGATTAAGAGCCAGTTTTTAAAAATTACGATGACAAACTTTGCTATGTATTTAGTATAGTGTGCACTGGTGACTCAATTAGTATAAGACTAAGAATGTGAATTAAGACTAAAATAAAGGCAAAAAGAAACCAATGCTATCTCACGACCAATTTGTACATATTTTATGAGGTGGCTAATTGGTACGAATTAGTACGACCTCACTCGTATGATTTTGTACATTTTCTGTGAGGGGTAGGTTTAGGGGCGGGGTTAGGGGTGGTCATTTGTATGAATTCCTACGAATTTGCCATCTCATAAAATACGTATGATTTTTCACATAATGTACAAATTCGTATGAGCAAGGTCATATGAATTAGCCATCTCGTGCAAATTGCTGTGAGATCGGGTTGAAGAAGCCTATAGCAACATCTCCACAAGAAACAGTAATTCTTTGGTGACCATGGAAATGGGAGCAAAACTAGCCTGATAAAACTGTCAGTTTTACACATACAATCTACAGTCTTGATGTGTTATCAACTGTATTTAGTCTCTCGTGTCCTTTAGCAGGCAGATCTTGGTGGCAGTTGGTCGGCCCCTCCTCCAGCTTCTTGCCTCTTTGCTAATCAGGTGTGGGGGAGGACGAGCCCATGGCCGACCAGACACACACTGTACAAACAAGCCGGCAAACTAGTTGTCTAAGCTGGACGCTAAACCACTAACTGTAGGGCAAGTCTTCAGGGCTGTGGTGCTGATATACACGTCTAGCTGTTTAGGCTTAATCACATGTTTGAAATGTTTGTGTCAATAGACATTAATCCTCCATGTCTACATGCACACCTTCGTAAAGCTGAGGCATTGTAGGTAAATAAGCAGCTCCCGAAGCTGAGTTCTCAGTGGACCGTGCATCTGCCTCGAGGAACGGATGAGGTCTAATGCACAGGTAATTGTGAATACGTGGTGTGATTATTCTCACTGGAATATTGATTTAACCACAGCTGCTTTATTCTATTAGAGAATCACAACACCTGACTCTAGATTAAAAACTTACATTTTGTAAGTACAAACGGCGTGGTGAAAGTCTTTGTATTCCATTATTTATTTCGATCCCCATTAGTAAAGTGGCCACTAGTCTGATTGGGGTCCAAGACTTTTTACATTTCACTCTATGACAATTTACATTAAAGAGTTAAGAAAAGTTAAACATGTGGTGTGACATTTGTTGACTTTTCATTTGTCACACTGCAGGATAATTTAAAATGAACCAGTGAAGGAAAAGCATAGGTAAAAACGGTAAAAAAAAAAAAATCCTTCATATGTTCATTAAAATTTTACCTACATTTTTGATTGATTTAAAAAATCATATGGACATGTTATGTCATCTACCTTCATAGATAAAAGCTGAATGAAATTTCTTGACAAAATAAGTAATTGAAATATACAACAACAAAATAATCAAAAACAACCCATAAAAAGCTACTACAAAAATTAAAGTAATTTAGAGAGCAAATAATTGACCTATTTCTTTGTGCATATCTCTATTTAGTAACTGTTTAAAAAAATATGTATGCTTCATGCAGCAGAAGCTCAATTTGTTTCTTCGAGAAGTTTGAATATGGTAATGCTAGATGATCCATAATAACGTGACTAGTATTATAATCATGAGCAAACCCAACATACATACACAGTTTTCAACTGTGCTTCCAGATGACTTTTGGTATCCAGATAAACAATGACAAGGAAGGAACAATGAAGAACTCGCTGGTGTTACTGAAGATGATCTTGTTGCACAGTTTTGTACAAGCTGAACTTTTTACTTGGTCTAGTGTGGACTGTCAGTTTATACTTAGTTATCATGATAACTTATCTTTGACGTATATTGTGATGTGACTTCTGTCCCATATTTCCTAACACCACAAAATTTGTCTTTAACAGTTTAGAAGTGCAGCAAGCTGTTGAAGGTGTGAACAGATTATCATACAAATTACACCCAAGGTCTTGGTAATAACACAAAACAAAGACATTGGAATTGAGATGTTAATTTCTCAAGAGATAGTGCACTTTAGAGGTGTGAGGTTCTGCTCTGACCAGTGTTGACCTCTGAGTAAACAGAGAGCTATTGTGACAAAACAGAGAATGTTGATTCCGTTCTCTCTAACAGACAAGCCCAGTGTTGTTGTGTTCAGAGCAAGTGATCAGGGTCCAGTTTGGTATGTTATACCATCTTCATCAAGATCATCGGACCTGAACCAGTAGGAAGGTACCCCACTATTTACCTTGTGCTCTGCAACTTCCAATAAATTGCACATGCAGCCCAAGTTTGCACCACCACCACTCCAGCCGGTGGCCCAGAATAGCACCAGCATTCCTTTCCCCTCCCCTCTCTCTCACACCCATCAAAGACACGGCACAGCAGAGCGAGCGCTGGGTCACATGGACTGCCACAGAGCCACCAGATCACACACACACACACACACACACACTCACATTAATGTATAAGCACTCACAATGACCAAAACAAAAACAGCTCTGGAGAACAACACTTAAGGACATATATTAAACTAGACTGATAAACAATAGGATTATTAATCTAAAAATGTTTTGTCTTCAATCAGAGTGGATATGTTTGTTATCTATGGTTAGATGCATGAGGAGTTATTGAATTGGCGTTGAATTAAACATTAAATACTGAAGTAGAAACACTGAAAACGTAGCCTACTTTCTTGTAAAATGTTCTCCAATAATCTTTGTTTTATTTACAACTTAATTTTTTTACTCTGTCTGTCTGTCTATCTATCTATCTATCTATCTGTCTATCTGTCTGTCTGTCTTGTCTGTGTGTCTGTCTGTCCGTCCGTCTGTCAGTCAGTCAGTCCATCATCCATCAATCCAACAATCTATCTCTCTGAATTCAGCATACATATATATGTGTATCTATCTATCTATCGATCTATCTGTCCATCATCTATCTATCTATCTATCTATCTATCTATCTATCTATCTATCTATCTATCTATCTATCTATCTATCTATCTATCTATCTATCTATCTATCTATCTATCTATCTATCTATCTATCTATCTATCTATCTATCTATCTATCTATCTATCTATCTATCTATCTATCTATCTATCTATCTATCTATCTATCTATCTATCTATCTATCTATCTATCTATCTATCTATCTATCTATCTATCTATCTATCTATCTATCTATCTATCTATCTATCTATCTATCTATCTATCTATCTATCTATCTATCTATCTATCTATCTATCTATCTATCTATCTATCTATCTATCTATCTATCTATCTATCTATCTATCTATCTATCTATCTATCTATCTATCTATCTATCTATCTGTCCGTCCGTCCGTCCGTCTGTCTGTCAGTCTGTCCATCCATCCATCAATCCAACAATCTATCTCTCTGAATTCAGCATCATCAACATTTTACATACATATATATGTGTATATATCTATATATATATATCTATCTATCTTGCCCTTAAGCTTTACTTAAAATCAAACAGATCAGCTTCTTCTGAAGAGATTTCCTGCTCACTTTAAATCAGAAACAGAAAAACAACCCAAAATCTGAAGACAGAAATTGGCCAGTGTTTGACAGAAACCGCTAGGGGTTTCTATGCACACTGATATTAAGCATCAGGGCCAATGACAACAAAGGATAGAGAGTGAACGATAGCTCCACCTCTCCTCTTTTCTCATGTATATAAGCCCGTTGAGTTGACCCAGAAAACACACACTCTCTCTCTCGTTGGAAGATTGTGAGCAGCGCTCTTTTGTGCGTCGGTCCGCTGGAGTATGAAGCTTCACCTTGTGGAATATAAAGTGTAATTCTTCAGAGGCTTTTGAACAGATAAAGCTCATTTGTCCTGCCGCAGCGGAGTCACTGAGCACAGGACACGGGGTAAGAGATTCAAAACGCTTGAGAAACTCACGGACTGTGTTTTAAAACGCAGTGTGCTGCCTATCTAGACAGCATTTTAGTCGTCATAAGCGCGTGTAGCATTTTACGCGCTTGCGATGTCCAAATGCTGTCTAGGTAGGCAGCTCTGTAGGTTTTTAAGACAGCGCCAGTGTTTTAGAGCTCGGGTGGCAGATCCATTGTTTGCTTCACTGCACGGTGACTTTCTTTGGATTGATGTTGTGCATTCTTTAAATTTCTGTGTGTAACGTACAGGATTATAATATAAAAATGGCGTGTAATATTTTTTTCTTACACAAATTTAAGGGTTTAATTAAAATGCATTTTCAGTTGTCCTCATTGTTTAGATCTAGTGGTTAAAAATATACTTTTAATTTATTTAGATGGAGGCTGTGTGAAAGGTTTAGTACTGAGAATAATACTCCATTCAATTTCAAAAGTGTTGTTTGGATGTGCATCATTGGGACTTAAGAGGTTGTAGTGTGTTGAGTGGGCAGTCAGGTGGGCTGAAGGGTGCAAAAAAGACGTCTCTCCTACCTGTTCAATGAGAGTGGAAATTAGTGTAGTCTTTGCAAAATTTTTAATAAAAACTGTTAGATTTCATTGTGCATTTATAGAATTTGTGGGCAATTAATCTGGGCGTAAAACAACTTGCTTCTGTTGTCAATAGTCCAATTCTAAACCTAATATCATCTGTTTCATTGAAGGGAGATTCTATGGCAGAGCACATGATGATGCCCATGAACCATGGACAGGGTAACGGGGGTCTGCATGGCTACCGGATGGGCATGAATGGAGGCCTGCAAGCGGGCCCCCAGCAGCATGCGCCCCAGCCCGGCCTGAGAGCAATGCCCAATGGACAGATGATGCACTATGGAGCGGGGCCTCAGGGAAACATGGAGGCTGCCATGCGCCAGAGGGCCAACATGGTGGGGCCTATGAATGGACAGATGGGTCACCACCAAATGCAGTCAACTAACATGATGTTCAACAACCAGGGCCAGCAGCAGCAACATCATGTTCAGCAGCACCAACAGCACCACCACATGCACCAAGTGCAGCAGCAACAGCCTCCGCCACAACAACAACAGTACATGAGCGGGGGTCTCACTTCCCAACAGCTCATGGCTAGCATGCACCTTCAGAAACTCAACACCCAGTACCATGGACACCCTCTGGGACACATGAACGGCAACCACATGGGGAATGGGGCGCAGTTCCGCATGGGTCAGGCCCAGTTGAGCAACATGCAGCATATGGCTGGCCCGGCTCTCAGTCTCAATGGCATGGACGCCGATTTGATTGACGAAGAAGTTTTGACGTCGCTGGTCATGGAACTAGGACTGGACAGGGTGCAGGAACTCCCTGAACTCTTTCTGGGACAGAACGAGTTTGACTTTATCTCGGACTTTGTGAGCAAACAGCAGCCGAGCACCGTTAGCTGCTGAGACTGGAACATATGGATGCTTGAAGGCGATATGGGCAGCAAAAGTTGCTCTTTTGATCTATTTATTTTTGTGATCGCCATCACCAAGACGAGAGGTGATCAGATGCCTCTTTGTCCACAGAAACGGGTGGTCAAGCTCCTGTTAGGACTACAGTTCTGTTTCTGGCTGGAACGCCGAGCGGCGATCCATGGATGAATGTAACAACACTTCAGAACTGTGAACTTGGTGCAATGTAAAGACACTCAAACCTTATTTGTCTTCAATGCAGTTTTACATTTAAAAATGTATTTATTTATTGCTTATCAGATGTATTAACATAGAACAAAAAAAGCAATGACATTAAGAACCTGTGGTTTATGGGAAACTCCCAGAATGGTATTGCTGAATTGTTGTTTTTCAAAATTTAGACTTAGAACTTTGTTCATCTGACCCAAACTGTAAGTCTGATGTTTTGTTGGACGGTAAAGTTTGAGCAAACCCAAACCACTGCTTGCTTACAATAGTGGTTAACGCCTGTCGTGATACAACTGGCCTGTCTAAGCTTTAGAATTGCCTTAAATCAAGTTGCTTTTATTTATTTGTCTCCCCAACCAACCCCAACAGTCCAGGAGGGCTCAAACCTATGTGTGACTTGTAATAAAGATGGCCAAGTTTTAATTCTGGCCTAATTTTTCATTAGTCTCTTATCTTATTTGTGGAAATGAAAAGGGGTGAGTGAAACATGTATATCTGTCAAAAGCAAGCAGAAAAGTTATAAAATATGAAGCTTGGATTAGCTTTATTTGGTTAGTTACCATGTCATATCAAACTATATGAGTTTACTCCTTGAAATGGTTCTAATTGCAATCTTGCCTGGTTAAAGCAGTTACTTCACTAGTTATCTACCATTATCATAAAAGGGATAGTTCATTCAAAAATTTAAATCCATCCTCCTGTTGTTCCAAAACTTAATGCATTTTTTTCTTCTTTGGAACAGACAAGTTACTTTGAAATGTTTGTTTGTGTTAGGTTGCCTTTTTTTTCCTTCTCCATTCAATTAAAGTCATTTCTGTCATAACTCGCGGAGGGATTGGCATGGTAATATACCTGACAATGTTAATGTATTTGGTCTTGGTGGAATAGATCTGCTACGCTGCTGTGGCAGAGCAAGTACCAAGACTTGCTACTGCCAATACATCCACAACATGCCGCTGTGAGCATGTAAGAAATATTGCTGAAGCAAATATAACATACATGAAATAACCCCCATATAGCATACATGAATCACCTCGTAGCAGATCTATACAGGTGGAGCTGGGAAAGGTGGAGGGTTTCTGAAACAAGCTGCAACTGCTACGGCAAGCACTAGTCATATATTTGAATGTTGAGCAGCGAGCTCATTGGCTACCGATACAGGAGAGAACCAATCAGCTGTGCCATGTGATAATGATGTCATTAGGTCATATTGTGTTAGACCTATCGGACTGCACCATCTAGAGTTTCATGACAGAACTCTGCATTTGGGTCCAGTAGGTTTTTGGACCTCAATGAATGGGCAAAAATGTTGTTCAAATTATCATCTTTTGTGTTCTGGAGATGAAAGTCATAAAGGTTTGGAACTGCACAAAGGTGAATGAACAGACTTTAATTTTGAGAGGGTTAACTTTACATGGGGTTAAACTGAAGTGTGCTATTAAAACCAATTACTATGACTCCCGTTAAAAGCTGTTGCTTAGGCTAACGACAGTTCTGAGAATCGTTGGTGCACCACAGCTTCCACTGACTAACCTTTCTTGGTTTAAAACAACGGACTAGTTTCATGCTTAGTGCAAAGTGGTTGAATTGTGCTGCAATAGCTACTTTCTCCATTTGTGTGCACTTATTAGCTCTTATATACAAGCCTGCTTGTAAAGCAAGAACCTTTTACCTACTTTCAGATGTAATAAAGGTGTGTATGGGGGAGGTAGTGGAAACTGTCCAGGTTAATCTGTGCTTACCTTGACATTACAAGTCTTTATGTGAACCCTGGGCCTGTGTTTTTGTCCTGGGAATGGAGGGCAAAGTGTTGTCCATTTACGGACATGCTGTGGTGAGGGGGTTCGGGCGGGGGGAAGGGTGAAGATTGCAGTGACAAGCCGTTAACGCTCCACTGTCACTTCCTGTTCCTCCTCGGCGGAGGAAGGGCTCGAAGAAAGTCAATATGGTTACTGTGTAGTAGCACTTGCATTGGATTCCTCTGGTATCAGAACAAGCCTTAATAATACAAAATGAATGCCTGTGGATGGTGAATGCCAGGAATAAACTAACAGACACAATCAGAGTGTTTCAGTGTTGGCTCCACCCTGTTTATTTTCAAAAAACTATACTGCTTGTTAGTCTCTGACTTGTTCTTGAGTTGAAGTTGGTGCCCTTTCCTTTAGATGGTCTTGGACCCATAAACAGCAAAATTAGAAGCTTATGTATTGTGAATTAACATGTGAGTATAAGTTAACATTCACAATGTCTTCATGTATATAATTTCTCATTTCTAACTGATTGATCCTCTAGATCTATCCAAATTGATACAGAAGAGTCATTTTTGTTTGGAGATTCTATTTAGTTTGAGCAATAAAATATATATTTATAAATGGGATGGGATAGATATGGGAGATGGGGCACTGTTTGTGTCCCTTATAAATGTGTTAAAAGTGACATCAATTTTTAATCAATATCTTTAGTTTTATTAACATACACACCCGTTCAAATGTTTGGGGTCAGTAAGATTTAAAAAAATGTATACTTTAATTCAGCAAGGACTCATTAAATTGATCAAAAGTAACAGTAAAGTTATTTATAATGTTACAAATTTCTATTTCAAATAAAAGCTGTAATTTTGAACTTTCTTTCCATCAGATAATCCTGACAAATATGGATCCTGGTTTCCACAAAATGGTTTTCAACATTGATAATAACAAATGTTTCTTGAGCACCAAATCATTACATTATAATGATTTCTGAAGGATCATGTGACATTAAATGGCTGCTGAAAATATCGCTTTACCATCACAGGAATAAATTAAATTTTAAAATATACATAACTAAAAAATACTTTTTTTTTTTTTAATCAAATAAATGCAGCCTTGGTGATCATAAGAGTTCTTTCAAAAACATAAAAAAATCCCCAAATGTTTTGTAGTATAAAAGTATTATTTATTTTTATTTCATTAACACGTAAAAACACTATATATGACAAAATGTTTAAAAGCTTTTTTAAACTTTTTAAAAAATGCACCTGAATGACCTGAATGTTTTGATAGTACATGAGTACACTGTAAACAAGTTGTAAGAGTAACATGTGCCAAGTGACATTTAATCCAACATTTATAGATAGAAACAGCTCAAAAGAATTTCGACTGCACGCCTTTGAAATGAAAAGTGGGGGTTTTCAGTTCAAAGATGTATCAGTAATCTCACCTTTTCTCTGGGGAATTCAGCTGTCTTTGTGAACTTTGCAATTTAAAAAAGATAAATATAGGTGTGTGTGCACAACAGGGAGAGGGAAGGTGTGCGTGGCTACTTTCTTAGGTGATGGAACATACAACTATTGTGTGAAAGAAAACATTATAAAATGTAACATCCCTGGGCGCCCTCGGTCAGGCCTAAAATGGCACCACTGATCCGCCTATTAGATAAGAGTTGGGGGTGACTGATTATTACTGTCAGCTCTTAGCTAATTGTTTTGTACAGAAAAGAATGCAATGGAACGACAATTTATCATAATTAACTTTTCTATGAATACTTGGAGTACTAAAGCCTTTTAGTATTACGCCATCATATATTTTCACTTTGTCAAACTCTTGGTGTAAATCCACTTCTGGGGAACCAGACTAGACATACGCTAAGCAGGGTGTGACAGGAGACATGTACTGTTGACTGTTTTTTGCTGTCTCTCTCTGAGGCCACCCACAATAATCTCTAAACACACACACGAACACACACCTACTGTTCTTTCTCAGTGAGCTCTCTGAACAGCTTTAGATTCAGTAGAATGAGCAAATGACAAGGTCAAAAAAAGAAGAAATGTCTTGGGGGGGAAAAAGAGCCACTTACTGAAATTGAGAAGAATAGTCTGGGAAATTCTGTGTAGGGTTTTACCCAGTAGCCATGAAGGATCCTGGAGACCACCCCTCTTCAACATATCACATAGTCAGCAATTTCTCTTTAGCTTTCCTGACAACAGTTTGTGGCTGAGGTGTTTACTAATTCATGTCTTTGTCTAGAAGGAGAGGATATTTGATAATTTTTTCAAAGAACAATTAATTAAATACTGTAGTGAGATGTATTAAAATGTCTGCAAACGATATCTGACAGCACAGCAAGCAAGAGCAGTGGCTATATTAAACAGTAATTTAAGCAATGACGCGACATCTAGCTCAGCGAGTGAGCAATCAGTAGGGCTAGCTGAATGTTGATTCGGTGAGTTCATTCAGTTGATTCATTGGAAGGATTCGAAGCGGTAACTCCTCACTTTGCGAACGTTTCTGAACAAATAATTAAAAGATATGGTACATAACAGTAATTTGTTGGTGAATCAAACTACAGTGTTCGTGGTCTGTGTTCATATTTGAACATGAAGCCTGAAGGAGCACCGCTGCAAATGTATGAAATATTAACTTTTATTTTAAGTATTTATTTTTTTTCCTTTTTTTTTTGTGCGTGGCATTAAGTTTTCATGTTAACTTTAAAGGGGGGGTACAATGCTGTTTCATGCATTCAGAGTTGTTTACACTGTTAAAGAGTTGGATTCTCATGTGTAGCATGGACAAAGTTTCAAAAAACAATTTGTACGTATGACAGAGTATTTCTGTGCCAATAATCTTACTTCCGGGTTCGTACAAGTTTCGGAGAGTTTTTTTTTTTTTTAATTAATGCTCAAAAATCAAGAATAGTACACATAGAATAATACAACCATTAACATAAAAATGATAAACAATAATAATAAAATATAAAGTTTTGGAGTTTTTTTCCTTAATGACGTAAACTAGGGAGGAACTCCTTATATGGGCATTTCTACTGGAAGAACGTGCCCGCGCACGCATCGACCAGAGGGAGAGCGAGATCGAGCCCATCAACGCGCTTCATCAGGCGGGAAGAATCGGGAAGAATCTTGCTCGGGAAGAATGTCTCCAATCCAAAGAAGTGTGTTTTTGGTTGTAAGGGAAAGATAACTTTGTTCAGCTTCCTAAAGAACAGTGGATACAGTTTGTTTTTCCCGGCAGCAAACTGTGTTTGTTGACGAACGTTTTATAAACAAGGCCCAGTTCAATGCTGGATTTGCACATCGTTTGATACTGA